TCACCGCGCCATATAATAATTATTTATTGTACGTACTCCGTATTTTTTGTTGCTCGTCTGATTTTTTTAGATGATCTTTAAGTTTCTTAACATTTGAAATTATTTTTCTCTTAGTTTATGCTCATACTTATGAACTAAGCAAAACGTTTTGGCTAAAAATACGTTTCGTTAGGTACCGGTAGCCTTTTGGATGCGTCATAGTCAAGTATAGGAGTCCCATGTACGATGTCCATGTGTTTCGTGTTCTAGAGGCCTTGTTCCTGAGCGCCCCACCACAGAGCGCGCGTTGCCTGACTGCAGGTCTCAGTTGCAGGGTTAATTAAGGGGAGCGTCTGCCCCAAATTTGATCTCAGTTATTTATCGACGGATTGATTCGAAATTCGGTACACAAATGTAAAACGGAATTCTAAAACTTTTTGTTAGTGTACATTTTTCGAAAAAAAAATTAAAGAAAACGTGAAATTCTTAGAAAACGGAAAAAAGGGGTACTGTAGAAATCTATCTCTTCTTAGGATTTTCAAGCTACAACATCGAGACACATATCATTCGATGCGTAAAGACCATGTCTAAAATTGATGCAGACGGTCCTTTGAAATTCTCATTTTTGTGGGTATGGGAGCATTTTTCATGAATTTGTCAGAAATTTTTTCATTTTACCCCCGCCACCAGAATAAAATATCTTTATGCAGAATAAAATCCAAACTATAACGAAATTAGAAAAAACATCTGCATCATTTGTAGATCTTTTATTTGCGATTCGAACGGTATATCTCTCATTGATGTTGCTTCAGAACTCTAGGAGGAGATAGGTTTGCAGTGACAATACGTTAACTTTTCACTAGAGCCCGACAAAGAGATGAAAAATACGCATGCCTAATCTAGCAGCTTATTGACGTAGCCTTGTTATGGTCACGACGTCATATAATCATTATTTATTGTACTCTCTATTTTTTGTTGCTCATCTGAATTTTTTTAGACGATCTTCAAGTTTCTTAACTTTTTTGAACCTATTTTTCTCTTAGTTTATGCTCACACTTATGAACTAAGCAAAAAGATTTGGCTAAAAATACGTTTCGTTAGGTAGCATTTTGGATACGTCATATATAGGTAGTCAAGTATAGGAGTCCCATGTACGATGTCCATGTGTAAGTCGTCTCAAGTTTACAGTCACGAATCAGTTGTCTTGTTTCTATTCTTTAAGAGACATGCACTACCAAAACTTTACGGTCACACATGGCTTTTGTGCAGTGGTTGACACGTGTAAACTGCGGCAGCGTGCGCGCCACGACAGCCTTCTGGAAACCCTGTACTAAGCCATGAAATAACGCTGGGGTAAATTTTAAACATTGATAGCGGTCCACACGTGATTTCAACTCGTCAAAAATACTTGATATGTCCACGGTATTCAGAAGTAGGTCTCGTTGGGACATTTTATAATCAACTGATGTTAGTCACCGAACCCAAACCTAATAAATTTATTCTGCGGCACGCGTGCACCTCAAATGCACAGCCTAACTTACGACTCGTTCAAACAACACGACTGAGCTTGACACGTCGGTTATAATCACTTAATATCGTCTTTTTTATCTACTTTGTAGTTAACCTATTGTTGCGTCCGTCTTTTCGGTGCATTTTCTCGTTTGTGGAAAAACGCTATTGTAGGTACTCGTCATGTCCGTCCGTGACTTGTCCGTCCATGTCTTCACGTTTTCGTCGACGAGAAAATGCGCTCTTTGACACTCACTGCTGTGAGTACTGAGTTATATTTTCTTGACATGTGCCCCATTTTAGCTGTAACACTCGTAATTGGGGCGTCTTATCAAATGAGCTTCTGAATATATATTATTTCACGGTATGCAAACTTGATCAAAAAAGTCTTCTTGAGAATGAAGGAATCGTCTCTACGTCATAAGTGTAATGAAAAAATATTTCACAGCCTGTTGTGGTGCATTATTTCGGTATATATTTACCCATCGTGGAGTGCTACAATCGGCACGAATTTTTGAATTGCATTAATTGATTCGTATCCATGCATTCGTAAGGTATGATTAGTGGGAAACCGTACGAAAATGCGCATGGCAAGTGTACAAAATGTACCCATGTTTTTTTTAATTGCATTAATTGATTCGTATCCATGCATTCGTAAGGTATGGTTAGTGGGAAACCGTACGAAAATGTGCATGGCAAGCGTACAAAATGTACCCATGTTTTTTTTATATAATTTGGTTTATTAATTTGTTTCTTTATATAATTATTGGAGACGATGCATTCATTAGTCATCCATCTTCAACTTCACAGTATTTAAATCATGTTCTGTCCTGTAGCGATAATATCTTTCCCAATGGGAAAATGACACCTGAAAAATACTATAGAGGTAATAAAGAAACAGTAGTCGCCACAGTTGAGTCTTCGGAGGAAATGAGGAACAATAAATATATTCAGAAGCTAGGAGTTGAATTTATTCTATACACAATGCCGTGGTTTGCGTTGAAGGATTAGATGATTAGTAATTTTTATTGCGATGGTTGGTTTATTGGTATTGACGGTGTTTCATTTAACCCTTAAGAAATACTGTTATTTGAAGTGAGACGGCGATCTAAAAAATGATGTTTAGTATTACGACATTGTTTTAAATTTCTAGCGAGAATTTTAATGTATAAATGGAAGGACCTTGTTTAGAACCTTGATAAAGTCTAATATTTGTAATTCTGGATTTAAATTGATGCACAAACCCTACTTCTCAAGCTCTTCTCGGCTTAATCACAACAAAGTCAGAGTAGAACTGAAAATTTGAATTATGACTGTTTTACAATGGTGAAATAACGACTCAAGTTTGCATATTCTGGTTCCATACTATTTGTCATTCCATGCTTAGTGGCCGTGGAATTTTTTTTTCCACGGATAAGTGTGCGAATAAAACTATTATAAATTAGGAATTCAAAAGAATAAAATTACCCTTAATATACGATACAAACACGTGTGTAATTTTGTTCTTATTACCACTGAGACGATTAGTCGATGCAGCAGTAACTGCGATGCAGTACACAGTTCTTCGCATTGAGTGTGAACGACATTCTTTTGCTGCTCGGGTCACGCCTTAACTGCACTGCAGTCGTTCCCTATTTTGTAGACGACCTCGCATACCGATTCAATTCTCCGTCAAAAAAATATTTTATGGAATATTCATAGTTTAGATTAAATCTCTTATTTTGTAGACGACCTCGCATACCGATTCAATTTTCCGTCAAAAAATATTGTTCGGAATATTTATTGTTTTGATTGAATGCGTTTTGGTCCTTGCGCTTATCGACTCTTCATGCTCGCTGTGTTGTATAGTGATCCATGACTTCTGTTCATGTTCCATTAAAAAATCATTACTTAACTGTCTCATCATGTAAATTGTAGGTTTAGTTCTCCCGTTTTACGTGGATTCGTTATCCACGCCTCAATTCGATGACAAAATCGGAACAGTCGTTGGCAGTGTATAATCGCATTTGTCAGTTGCATATGAGACGGTTGAATATAAGATACGAAGGTATCACAAACGAGTCAGAATCATTCTGTACCAGAATATTATTTATCGATTTTTTCTCTACTTTAATCATTGCATTTGTGCCTGAGTTTTATTTAATTTATTATTTTTGGCTCGTCTTCTTCGATGAATTGTTCTGAAAAAAACGTACCTACGGGACATTTTCCCACAAATTTTTGTTGTGATTTTTTCTCTACTTTAATCATTGTATTTGTGCCTGAGTGTTATTTAATTTATTATTTTTGGCTCGTCTTCTTCGATGAATTGTTCTGAAAAAAACGTACCAAGGGGACATTTTCCCACAAATTTTTTTCGTGCAAATTTCGCTTTGCTGGTGCAATCTAATATTAGATTAAGTTGGTGTCGCATAACATTCGTTCACCCTCAGTGATTAGATCATTTCAATTATTATGTTATTGCTCATGAATAATAAATATCTTAATTATTAGCTGATTCACAGGAGCTTGTCTAGGATAACCGTTTGAAAGCCACTTGTACCAGCTAAGGTAGGAAATTAAGTAATTTTTTTCCTCATGCATTTATTGTTTGTAGAAGTACGGATGGAAAACTCAGCGTGATTAATTAACATTTCTAACTTTTAAACATGGTCCACGAACACGTCTGATTTTTATACTATCCGCCTCTGCGCATGGGCCAACGTAATGATTATTCATTATTTCATCATAATGATGGTTATTATGTCAGTGTTTCACTTTCTTTCACTCAATAAACTCTAATTTTTCTAGATTTGTTAACTTCATTTAGCTTCTTTTAATTCCCCGCTTGTCACGCCATGAAAGTTTAGCTCCATTTTCACCTCACTAACCGCCAGGACGCCAGTGAAGAAAGGGTTACTGAAGCTTTTATAGTCTCGTCGCTCTTATTATGTCATTTTTTGGGACAGACTTTTCTTGCTGGACAAACCTAGTGAGATTGACAGAAAACTTCCTTCAGTTTATTTCTCGATTCAGAAGTTGAACTAAAACTCTTATTTGAGAGTGTTCCAGGGGCGCCAGCCTCCATTATGATTAGCCGACGGTCTGATGATGACCCTAAGTCACGCCCCTATAGCACTATACGCCCCATGGCATAGCTGAGTCGCTCCACGTACGTGGTCTCTAGAAACCAATAAAACTTTTCGCACATATGTTACTTAATCGCGTAACAGACGAGGGGACGTGTTATCAATAATAGTTGAGAGTTCGTAACTTGGTGAGCAAATCACTGACGTCTTTTCAAGAAATCCACCTCTCTCGGACGAATAATAAGGTCCCGAAGTTTATTTGAGCGAGTTTTAAAACTCCCCCGTTAAATTTAGTGTGCAAGGAGTGATCTTCGGTTAATATATATTTGCTTCTCCGCTCCGCCCGCTCTATTTCTCCGCATTTGATCGATCGCTTTTATAAAATTTATTTTTTATAATGAATAAATATATAGTGAACTAACGTTCTAATTTCTATGTCCACAGATGTTTCACCATCCGAAAATTCGCAACGCTCTTCTCTTCTTCTTAGTGATGGCCATCACGATTTTCTTCATTATTGGCAGAGAATCCAGTCATAGGCAGAGAGACACCATTGTTGAGGTAACCATGCAGCGTCTGGGTAATACCACCAATTTCTAACAATACCTTCGCTTATTCTTCATGTTCTCACAGCTCGTAAGATTCGATGCTAATTTACCTTTCAGGTGATGCGAACGAACCCTAGTTTAATGAAAGACTATAAAGAGAGATGACTCGAACACTGACCAGGTTTGAATGCCTACATTTGCCTATCGTGGTCTAATTGTTTAAACACTTCTTTATCCGTGATGTAGCGAGTTTAATCATTATAAGTTCCAAACCGTTGCATATGTTGTTAGAAATGTCATTCAGTGTTCTTTTTAGCGTATTTTCTCATTTATGGAAAAAATGCACTAAAAATGCTCGCCATGTCCGTCCGTCCGTCCGTAACTTCACGTTTTCGTCGACGAGAAAGTGCGCTCTCAGTCACTCACTACAGTGAGTACTGAGTTATATTTTTTTCTAACGGAACACGTTGGGAGAAAGCGATTTTATTCAGCTAATTATCGGTTGCACATTTATACGGCTCTAAATTCCGCGTGTCATCAAAGTATTGTAGTGCGTATCAGCAAGACTTGATTACATGACTCAGCATCATTTTCTCTCAGTAAGTGTTTATACGAAATTCTAGTTATTCACTATTTTTTATTTATTTTTGTAGTATATTTTTTTAAATGCTTCGCATACTTGAACTGATTTTCCTCTCGATTTGTTCGTGCGCGCTTCTAAAATGTCGCAACTAGAGTTATGATTTCCCAGCATATAGTTTGAAAAATTCTCAAAAAAAAAGAAAAAAATACCTGCAACAATAACTTGAATACCTACTAATTACTAATACACTCTATTTTCCCGAGATTAACTGCGTGGAGCCCAATGGTAGAAGATGTATTTTGGAATATGCCTCGAGACTTGTTTCTCAAGACGTCAGTTATTAGAGTTGAACATTCGCAATCCTTTAGTTAGAAAACTGGCGAGATAATGAGGAGCTAACTAGCTGCTATCAACTTGCCATTAATAATGCAAGACCTTATCTCTAACACATACCCTGTTTGACATTTAAATGATTCTAGCAACTGTACAGTATGGAAGCGTGACTGAAAATAGTTTCGGTTAGCTACTGTGTTGCGGGACGCCAATTAACCGTAATGAAACTCTGCTGCTGCATAGACCCATCTCGCTTCTAACACTTGTGTGAAAACATTCTTCGTTCAGTGCCAATGACCGTTCTTTACGAACTTAGGTTTCATTTTAGATTGATTAATTTTTGATTTCTTATAATCTGGGATAGAAATGTTTTAAAAATTCGGTTGCCGTTCAAATATATTTTAACTATTCCTAATAGCTTGCTTAAATTGTTCAAGAGATTATTCTATTTATTCAGTTATTTGATTAAAATGATTAGTGACCCTGGTCGCTAACGTTTGAGGTTGACTTGAAATGATCTATTTTAATGTGCTCATTTCAGCAGGCGCCCATAGAAGCGCCCGACACCTACACTCCTAACGAGTTGGGCGTGTGCACGGGCCGACGTTGGCCAGCGGACGTCCCCCCGCTGTACGTGATCACTCCGACGTACCGCCGAGCTGAGCAGATCCCTGAGCTCACCAGACTCGCCCAGACCCTCCTGCTGGTGGACAGCTTGGTCTGGATCGTCGTCGATGATGCCGACGAACCCACGCCTGCGGTCGTCAACTACCTGCAGGAACGACGTATATGTCACGTCTACTTAATAGGTAATCAATTATTTCTCTGTTTACGTAAAATACCTACTATTAACTAAAAATTTTCGACTGATGGAACTTCTATTTTATTTGTGATGCCAAGTTGGTAACGATATAACTGAATAGATTGTTTCCATTGCAAATAAAAATTCTTTTGGGATAAGTTTTACACCTGCCCGAAAAAAATGTACAACTGCCTGGAAATTTTTTCAGCCCGAATGCCGGCCAAGTTTCAAAAGTTAAAGAATCCTCCGCGTGGCGTGGCCAACCGGCGGAAGGCGCTGGAGTGGTTGCGGAAGCATGCGAAAAAGGGAGGCGCCTTCTACTTCGCTGACGACGACAACACCTACGACACGAGGCTCCTGGACGAGGTCTGACTCTCGCCTCGACATGTCTTGACCACTAAAATACCTTTAATTTATATCTATTCCCTAATGATGTGTGCATGATGATACACGGAGCATCTAGTCGTTCTTTAAACCAATATCTGGTGTCATATATTTTTATATTCCTCCTTCTTATAACATTCACTCAATTTCAAAGTGTCCCAGTTGAATACAATACATGAATATGATTGAATGTAATTGCGAAAATACTTTCATCTGTGCAGATTCGCCACACCAAAAAAGTGTCCATGTTTCCCGTTGGCTTGGTCACACAACTGGGATTGAGTTCACCAATTGTCCGCAACGGGAAAATTGTCGGTTTTTATGACGGCTGGATTGCCAATAGAAAATTTCCAGTTGACATGGCAGGATTTGCTGTGAGCGTAGATTTCCTTAACGCCAGACCTGAAGCTGATATGCCTTTCTTAGTCGGGCAAGAGGAAACCAAATTTTTGGAGTCGCTAAATTTCACATTAGATGACGTTGAGCTTCTATCAAGTAATGCTACGACAGTAAGTGTTCATAACAGAACGATTGTTTATGAAGAAATTTAGCGTATTTAATTCATTTATTGAGGTATACGTCTTTGTTATATGACATTCTTTGAGAAATGTGCGTCGAATTGATACGCTTGAAATTAGTTGAAATAATATTGGCTGCTTATATATAAATATGCATTTCTATTTATTCGAGTTTAGACACGAAACTATTAAATGAATTGTAGTCATGATCCAAATATTTATCATCAATTCATTTATTTTCATTATTCTGCCATCTTTTTTACTGATACATTAATTTTGTGAGGTCAACGCGACCCTTCACTGAAAAATAGTGACGCACAAATGAAAGCTTTGCTTGATCTCTAACTTAGTCAGCAGGACATTTTTCATGCATCTAACGATCTTTACCAACGCAAAGAACTCAAATTAATCTAAAGACTTGACAATACAAGAAGTATTCATTGTAATGCAATACTTAATATAATGTTACATTTTTTACCTTGGATCTTGTCCTTTTTCAGATACGCGTGTGGCACACAAAGACGAAGAAAAATAACAAAGCAATTTTAGGTGCGAAGAAACTCAACTACAAGGACAGCAACATCAACTTTCTACAAGAGCAGATCTGGAGATGAGAAAACCTTTTTTTAAGCCTTTACTTAATTGATGAATATCGAAAAATTTGCTGTGCTAAATCACGTCTACACGTACCTTATTTGAACCGAAAAATGTATCACCGAAAGTAGCTAACCGTGCCGAAAAAATGCGATTGAACTATTTAAAGCGAGCTAGCAGCAGTGTCATCTAAAAGCTTCATGCTAATGAGAAAAACTATCAGCTTATTAGTTTTTTTTATTTTATACGTACATGGAATGATATCTCATAGCTGTGATGATAAGATGCCTCGTCACCCCATGTGCCTTGATGCATATGCATCTTCCAGTCTTCACATGATGTTTTGTATTCCAATGTTAACTTTGATTTGTCAGGCGTCAGATCTCTTCATTAATTTAATTGTATATTTTGTGTCGTGGTTTGTTTGTACGAGAAAGTGTGCTTTCTTGAAACCATTCATTCTGCGCTTCCCTTTTTCATTCGGTTATCGTTGAAAGAAAACGAAAAACGCCGTAGTAAAAAGTCTTCCTGAATCTTCCAGTTCTAATCTTGTTCATAATTCCTTCGTTGTTATTCAACTTAAAAGGCAGTCTTCAATCTTGGAACAGCAAATTCCTCTGTTCCAAGCCGCTCTCTTGTACAATGTTTAAATTATTGCTGCTACAGACGTATTGCTGCCGATGATTCGGTAGCGGGAGTAGTTTGTCAATGATGTTAAAATATTTTACATTTTCGTGTTAAAAATAGATAGCTACAGTTAAATATTCTGATTTAGATATTCGATATGTTTTTGTATTCTACGTTTCAAGTAAACTTTAACTAAGCTCTGCGGAAGCAAGATTGAAATTTACTCGTCTGCATTTATTAATGGATTGTTACTATAATTAATATTATTTAATAATAATAATTTTTAATTATAGTGTTCCTGCAGTTCAGTAGGACGATGATGATGTTCCCGCTATGGATTTTTTCATGTCGGTATCGACTTTCCACTTGCGCGTATTTGCTTACTGTTGATGATGAGTGTTTCTTGTTCAATTGCTTAGTCGAGCTGTTAAGTCGGTTTCTCCTGGTGTAAAATCCTGAAAAATCTCGTTTGCGTTCATCTCCACATTGAAGTTCAATAAAATACTTGCATGACAAAACCTTCTCTCACATTGATTTCAAAGAATACTATTTTCCGGCGATTAACAGCCATGCATTTTTTAAAGAATACTGAGTTGCTATGACGTGTTAATTCTGATGTTCTATTTGACATGATGTTTGTGTGTGACGTTTGATTCTTCGTGGTTGACTTTTGTGCCTTCATTCAAAGCGGCTCTAAATTATCTCGTTTGGCAAGATCATTATTGCGGCAAGATTTGTTTATCAGATTTATTTTCTTACGTGTCGTAAATCGTGTATGATTTATTAATGAAGCTGTGGTCAGCAAGTCGAGCATTTGAACTGCTGCGAGTGCCTTGCGTTTCTGTTGTGATATTTAGCTTGTAAAAATAAAGTAGTAATATTCTGCTAGTAACTAAATGTGCTCAATTGTTGTGAGGCTGCGTATGACAAAACATTCATGAAAACGTGAACATTTTGCGTTTTGTAATACTGTACATGTTCTAGAAGTGAGATTTCTTCATTCGCGAAAAAGGAATGCATTAACTGTCCTGGTTGAGGTATTTGGATTCCTTCATGACTTTTATTCTGAGCTTTTCTTCAATTAAACAAACGACAATTACTCGGAAAAAACTCCGTCGTCACGAGGGAATGGGGTTCAAGTGTCATTCAGCGTTTCTGTTATATTGTTCTTCTTGCATGCTGTATCTAATACGTCGTAATTCGGCTTGTTTCAGATATCTGTTACATGAAATCATATTTTCTCTTGGTCAAATTCTGTAACCACCACAGAAATGAGTCCGCACTAAGGCCCGTTAGAACATATCTTTCTTTCTTGTGTCGTTTGACAATTTTTGTTTGGCAAAAATACTTGTGTCTTTTGGCAATTTTTTTAAGTCAGAAAAACGATTAAAAATTATAGGATTAACACCACGTTCCCAGCCGGAGTTATGATGAATATATATCGCATTTTATTTACCACTTTTGTGTAGCTTAGAGTATTTTTCTAGCCAAGTATAAATGAAATAATTTTGCTATGTCAATTCTAAACAAACGCAGCGTCGTCTGTTTACGGGCCCAGCTACTAAGCGTTCAACTTCCAGCCTTGGGCGAGTTTTCGCTCATTTTATATTAGTAACAACCGACATTAGGGGATCCTTAGATTTTCGTTGGAATGGCCCAAATCTAGCCAATGACTAAGTAAGATCTGCCATTTTTTTATGTTCACATATTTCTTTCTGTGATTTCATTTTGGTACGCACTAGCATGCATGTCAGGGATCTATCCATATTCTGTGGCTATTCCGTTTCTTGCATCTTGAAGCTATTTTTGCGAGAGCCACATCTCTCCTTCGCTCCTCGTCAAGATGGTGGTTAAATTCGGTATTATCAACGCGAAATCCGCTTTACATGCAGCTTGATTCATCGAATATTCATATTATAACTTTGTTGACACCACTTATGGAAGAAAGTCTTGGCTTGTCAGGCAGGTTAAATAATTTATTTATTTTTCACCCTCATACTATTTATTATCTAGTCTAAAACAATGACGTGAGTACCGATCATTTCATATGGAACTCATCTTCACGATCCGTTGTTTTTCTCATGCTCCCATCTGATTCATTTCTCGTCAATTTCAATGTATTTTTGGTGATCCCGTCCGATTCATTCCTCATGTTCCCGGCTCTTCGCTGAGCTGATGAACTCGAGCTATTTGCTTGCCTTTCGCTGTTTCTTAGTCGTTAACGAATGTGAGGTTGAGCTCTTTCGCGAAACTTTCTAAACTTTGCCTAATAAAATTGCGTTTATTATTTTTTGTTTCCATGTGACTTTTTTATACTAAATATGAACGATTTACTGAGATCCTATAGTCGTGATTTTCCTCTAGCAATTTCTTCCTCCAATATTTGAGGTTGGGAAACCCCAATGTTGGAAACCCAGTGCATAGCAAACTGATAGTTCCCGTAAAACTGATGCAATTGTTTAAAAATGAATACAAGGCCTTAAATCAATCGCTCATAAATTTATAACTACTGTGTTCAATGAAGTTGCTTTACCTGATGAATGAAAATACGTTGGTTAATCAAGCAACACTCGAGACCATATTTACTAAGCGTTGTCTCTTTACGATCGAAATATAATATATAATTCAATTAACCTAAATATTACAAGAAAATTAATTTTACCCCATCGACATATGAAGAAGATTGACAAATTTAAATTTGGTATAAATCGGTCCCTTCTTGGTGTATTTTGAGCCCAATCAAATGGAGATAAAAAATGCGTAGTCTCTCAGTAAAGTCCCATGTCCATGTTGTTGTGTACGGGCGCGTTCATGTCTCGCTGCATGTTGGTTTTGTCCCGTAGCTGCGTCATCAGGAGCTTCTGCTGCACCACGCCGATACGAACGTCGATCGCCGTCAGCTCGTTCTTCACCCTCGTCAGCGCCCGGCGTACATTCAGCAGCGGAGCTGGGCAGGCAAACATTCAGTAAATATTCGACCAACTTAATATAAACTCACAAAGTCGTTGAAGAGCGCGTCACGCTTCATATATTTTACGCTCCGAGTTTTCAATTAACTGAACGTTGAGCTATGGGCAATGAAGATTTGCTACAATGAAGATTTGCTACTTTTTTTAAAATTTGCAACAATATTTGGTGATTTCTACAGCTCTGAGTGAGTAATAACCATCTCAACAGTCTATGTGATGTGCAATACCTGTAAGTTTTGTGCATGTATGAGCATTTATTCCATTTCTTCAATGCCGACAATTCTATTCTCTAGAAATGGGCTAACCTATGCGTGTAGGAACCACAACTTAAGCCCCTAGTAATAAAGGCAGTTAAGGTAATATGAATGATTAAGCTCACTTCCATCAGTCATGCTGGAACTTCGTTCCTCCATCTCCTGCTTGATTCTGTCGAGCTGGTCTGTGATCTGCGCCAACTCGTGCGATTTTTGGGTGAGGTTTGCCGACACTGACTTGTACTGCTCCTGTGTCTCCGATGACTGGTTCTGAACAACGCATGAACTCGTTATTTTTCTTTGATTCATTTATTTATTTACTCTAATTTTCACTTCTTTTTGATTGAAGTAAGGTGATTCACTTCACCGCTTTTATCTTATGGTTAATATCTACTGATTGAGAACATAAAAGAAAATAATAATTAGACTTTTTACTTGTGATTTTAAGCATCGCAAGGCAATTTCAACAAAATTATCCTGGTAAAGTATGGAAATCTTTTCTTTACCTAGAGGCTTCTGTGCTCTGTAAAGCTTATCTTCGAATTGCATTAAATACCATACTTTACTAACTAATTAGCTACTATTTAAATCTGTATGTACGTAATTTAAATGATATATTCGTTGTACCTGGAGATTTCTGTACTCCGTTAGCAGCTGTTCAACCTCCGCATTGATGTATTTCTCCCTAGAGCCAATTTTCTCGAGGCTTTGCGCTATCTCGGAGTGCAGCGCGTCGAGCTGCTTCTGTGCGTAGACCAGCGACTCGTCGATCTTGCTGCGATACTCGTGCATCTGGTCAATGTGCGATCTCCAGTCACGCTGGTCTGCAAGTAAAAACTATATAAACATTTTGACGTTATCACATAAATCAGCAATTATTTCTTGATTCCATGAATAATTAGCGTATGGTTATAATTATCAGTCAATTTAGTCGGCGAATAACACCCAAACAATTTTCTCAGAGCTCAATAATTGTCGAAGGAAAGAGATTTTAAGCGCAAAGAAGAATGACTGAGTGATGGCTGAGTAAAAGTCGCATTTGCGTTGGCATAAGAAGAGTAAGATAGAAAACAAGAGAATGAATGAGCACTGGCGTAAGAATAGATTACTAAGTGAAATCCTCCATTAATAATCGGCAAATCTGCATGCCAAAGTTTAAAGTAATGCTCAATAGATTGATATTAGCAAGCACTTCATCACTGATCAACACTAAAATGCGTTATTTAGGTGTTAGTGGCATCACCAGTGTATACGCCTGCGTCAATGCCATCATCATCCCTGTAACACATCAAAGTTTTTGGCTACACTCGCAAATTTTATTTCGAAGTAGCAGCATACATCATTACTAATCCTCAGTTGAACACCTGAAATTTAGTGGCAGCCCTCATCCATATTGAAGGAGATTCACACATGTTTGCAATCTTCACTGGAATACCTTAAATTTAGAGGCAACCCTCGATCGCCAATCTTGAAGAAGACGTACATATCATAACAAATCTTCAAACACCTGAAACTTAGGGCAACCCTCACCAGTCTTGAGAGTAACCCTCAGTTGTGGCAGGACTCGTTCGAGCTCGAGACGCCATTCCTCAGACGTGGTGTTGGAATGCAGTATCTGTTCAGGCCTGTCCATCTGACCACCCTGCAGCAAAGATACATTTTGATGGACAATTTCGAACGTAATCATTATTTTCCTGCTAACAGAAACTCCATGACCTTCTAACCTCATTGGGCGATCTATTTTGTAGAGTTGTTAATTTTGAGTTTAGAGTAAGAGTAATTTAGAATTTTAGAATATTTTTTTTAGAATTTAGAGTAATTTAGAGAGTAGAGTTGTTAATCAATGTTAATGAATAACATTGAGATTATTAAAGAATGTTTCCTGCCTGAAAACGGTTTAAAATTCAGAATAGGCACGCAAGAAGCTTAGAGATGGAATGTTAATGGATGAATTCATAAAATTTATTTAATTTTTCTTGTATATCGATTAGTTTTTACGGAGCGGTCGACTAACAATCGTCCGCGTTAGGTCGGCGAAGTCATCGAGATGTCGGATGTTTTCTTCGTCCTCTTCTTCGTCATCTTCGTAAATTTCCTGCATCTCCTCCTCGACTTTCTCTATGGTGACCTCTGCATCGTCCTCCCCTTCCTCTTCTTCTTTCTCAACCTCAACAGGATATTCAGTTCTGCGAAAACCAATATTGAATAGCGTTTCTTTAAAAATATAAATCCTTTTGCTCTATCGACAAAAGCTTATAAGGAATCAATCAATTAGACCACTAAAAATTTTTGGAAAACTTTAATTATTCTTTTATGCTGTCAACAACCTGCATGGAATTTTTATTTTTGCCCGGCGATGTAGAATGACTCATGAGAATTGTAGCATTTCTCAAAATCAATAACGTCTACGTCGTGCGTATAAATATTAAAAAAATGAAATATTCAGTGCGAATCGAGATATTTATCGAAAATTAAAAATCACGATAAACATTTTAAAATTAATAATTTTTAGCGCATTTTCTCATTTATAGAAAAAAGGCGCTATTGTGCTCGTCGTGTCCGTCCGTGACGTCCGTCCGTGACGTGAAGTCACGGACGGACAAGAAAATGCTAACGGACGGACGAGAAAACGCTCTCTCTGTCACTCACTGCAGTGAGTACTGAGTTATATTTTTTTCTACTTCAGTTTTTCAGACCATGCTCAATAATATTTACATGACCATGTCAGTCTTAATGGTCCTACTTCCACACGATATCAATAATTAAAATTTACTAGCACTCATCAGATGGGAAGTAACCACTCGACTCGTCTCACTCACTTTTGCCAGCCAAAGCCGGTCGTTTTGAGTGCCAAGTCAGCGAGGCAGTCAAGCACGTGGATCACTTGCTCGCCGCTGCCCGTCTTCAGTTTGCTGGGAGGAAAATCCAGGGTCTCACCCTGAAAAAATATTGATATTGTTTAAATATTCCACTTGCATTTCTTATGCACAAATTTCTTAACCCATTTCACATCAAGGGCAACACATCTACTGAGAATTTCGTGTTTGATTTCAATAAGTGAAATGAATGCGCAATTTTGATTCTGAGTATAATATTTTATACGCAGTGTTTATTTCAAGCTTAAAGTCGTATAAAGTTACCCATAGTACTAAATTTTAATCTAATATGTCCGACTCCAATATAGACAGAAACTCTTGAAGACAAGCTCAGATGATCTATCAACTTTCGATATATTCCCATCAGGTTTTAAAGTCAACAAGTTTCACAAACTTGTTGCCGAAGGTAGTCGAGTATGTTGGAGATGACCGAGTTAGGTTCGTCAGTCTCCTGAGGCTGCTCCATGTTGCCGCCGTTACGATTAATCAGCCACACCGCCAGCGACACGAATATGTAGAACTGCTCCCCAGTGCTGGTGGCCAGTGCGAAGTAATGTCTGTGGAAACAGGAAACTATAGTTGCGCCTAAGATGTTGCGAAGGATAATCAATTATGTCGAGGTATGAAGTGGTTTTTGATTTCTTAACTTTGAGAAAATGTAATATTAAAAATTAATAACCCACATGCAATCATTCATTCGTAATGATAAATAATTCACAACAAATTTGTGAGTATTTGAATTGAAACTGGTGAATTTTATTTATAATATAAGAAATTTACAGCTCAAGAAACAAAGAATATTCGATGCCATTCTTGCGAGTCAGTATCCAATGAAAATTGCACCGATTAACTTAAAAGATGTTAATTTCTATTGTTTTCATTCTGAGGTTTACTGCAGCGAAATCCAGGGGGCGTCATTGTGTTCTAGGGACAGATGGGCTAATCCCCTCATGACTTATGTTATTATTTATGTTATAAATGGCTGGTTGAATGATTATTTTTTTAAACTTAAATTCAGACCAAAATATAATTAATTGTTTGGCTTTTTTATAATAATTTAAATAAATGAGTATAAAACTATGTATGTGGTTTAAATTATTTAGGGGTTCAGAATGTTTTAGGGGGACTGAAGCCTCCCTAAAATAGGCCCCTTAAAGTAAGCCTACTGACGCCTCGGACGAAACTATCACCATGAGGCCAGGTTACTTGACATGGTCACCTGTTCAGTGGCTTCATCCTGAGTTTCATGACGAAGAGGTGGTCGTAGTCGAGGAGTTTCAATTTGTCGAGCAGCTCTTCCATCCTCACGAAAATCTTGTATGAAAGACCAGGGCTCGTCTCAGATCCCTCATCGTCGAGAACGTTGCGCGAGCTCGCGCTCTCGCCTCGACCTCCTTCCATTCTGAAAATTGAGTAGCTTTTAAGATGTCCATGGTACGACGTACAAATGATAGTCAATAAAAGATAATTCGTAAAAATTTTATATTACAAACTACGCTTTTTTTCTCAACTACAAATTCCAGTCATTGTTCTCCACACACTCGTGCAAGAGTGAAGTGTTCAGTGCCGATTCACCAATTCTATGAAATTCCATTTTCGCTAATTCACCAATTCTCTGAAACAGAGTCAGCTAATTATCTTTACAGTGGTTTACACACTGTGAAGCAATAAGTACTGGCATTTTCCTACATTTGATATATCGAGTAAAATGTGCATTTGGGCCACATCAAATGATACAGCTTTATAATGAATACCATGTGTCCTGAGAAGCAAGTATTCATGATGAGGCTAAGATTTGTGGTCAGAAAATTAGAATAACGCAAGACAGTAGACCCGCGCATACAGCGAAGAACCGAATTGTAGCACGTGAAATAGAATTAGTTATCAGCGAACATTTTAAAAACCCTATCTGTATATCGACGGCAGTAGCAAAATCACGATCGTTTACATATATTTCGATTAGTACTCTTAGAGCTTTGCAGTGGTTATGAACTTTTTCAAATTTTCTAAGACTGTACAACGCACAGATGATGCGTTCGAATTTTTCAGCATCATGAACGCTTTCTAGACTTCAATCTAAGTTAGCCATTTTATAATGATACCAATGATTACGGTTAATCCATTGGCATCCAATCGCTAGGATGTGACGAAGTTTTCTTCAACGGCAAAACCATATCGGAATTATTACGCGAAATTCTGTTGAGAAATTAACTATCTCTTAAAAATTACGCTTGAAAATAAACTTTCGAAGTTTTACACCAATTCAAATCTGTTCGCAAGGTGATTAATTCTATCCAAATCCACTATACTAACATTAGAAGCCTTTATTTTAAAATAAGTTGCCGACCTTCTTCTCCTGACAATTGCACCGAACTACTGAATTCCCATTGTTGACAAGAGCCAACATTTCGTAACCATGACAACGAGGGGCCAACGTCGAGTGATTGTTGCCTTGGCAACGGCATCTGACTTTCTCATCATACAGACGCCAAACTTCACTCAAGGAAATCAGAGTGGCTCATTTTAGTGGTTTGCAATTTACTTTTAATAAAGACGTTACCATTGAATTTAATTCGTGAAAAGCGCAATTTAGATGTGATTTGAGTTCCCTGTGTTTTGTTGGCGACTTTTGTCTGCGATCAAGATCGCTTTGTGTAAAGATTTCACGCAGACGGTTGAGATGGGAAAAATTGTGATCCCTAGCAGAGAATATAAAGGCTTGAAAGTAATGGCATCTGGTGCTAAAATTTTATTTCTAGAAGTTTTCTGTGGCTTAAATGTTCAAAATTTGATTGACAAAAATATAAAAGCAACCGCTCGCAAATACGCGTATCAATGACAGGCTGAAGAAAAAGCCGCTGGGTGATAATGAAGGTTTTCCCTAGGGAAATAGCGGAGAAAGAGTGTAAATTTATGGAGTGATGATAAGACAAAAAATAAATTAATTAAAGATTGCGGTGGATAACAAAATTCTTATTTTCATAATCTTTTAGGTATGGAAGAAGCGCTTGAAAAATTCTTATCGACCCACTCGCTGGGAACGTTTCTCCTAGACAGCGACACAGCTGCTTTGTTCAAGGATGTACAGGAGAAGCGAGCTCAGCTTCGGGCAGCCGATGCCAAGAAGGAAGAAATTCAAGAAGATCTCCGGTGTCGGCAGGAGGAGCTCGAAAGTCTACGAAATATCCTGAGTCAGATTCAGGTACAAACTTACTGATGAATAAATTGCTTCGGATATTTAAATTAGATTTTCTAAACGAATGTTTGAAATCCTTCCAGTTTATAGAAGCTTTGAGCGACGAAAATAAATATTCTGATATATTGGTGCATCGATCAATGCCCAATAATAATAAATCTAAAACTAATATCAACAGTTGCATTATACGTATGCCTATAAACCAGTATAATTCTCGGCATAAGCTAAATATGTGTATTTGCATTTTTATCTAAAAAAAGTTTGCGAAAAAATAAATTATTGGCTGCTGCAATAGTAGGAACTACTTAACAATGTTACTAATTTTAAAAAGATGTAACTACTTAACAATGTTACTAATTCTAAAGAGATGTAACTACTTAACAATGTTGCTAATTATAAAAAGATGTAACTACTTAACAATGTTGCTAATTATAAATAGACGAACAACGGTTGATCGCTGAATGAATCTTAAATAAATCCTAACCGAACAGGACCTGTGGGAGTCCCACAAGCAGCAAGTTCAAGCTGAAGCTGCGACTGAAGTTGAAACACGGCGAGAAATTTCGGCGATCAAGCAGAGCTGCGTTCAAACGGAGAAGCAACTCCAGAAGGTGCAGTAATATTATTGTATTGATCTCATAGCATTCCTCATGTTTCATTAGTGCATACAAACTTACCCTGAACGACGTCTGTTGTCGCACAAAGGATTGTTCAGGATTGTCTGTGTACACAATGTTGGACATTTCTTGGTGATGTGTACTTTTGATCGCCAAATTTAGCAATTAACTAATTTTCAATATCTCCAAGTTAGTCACCACATTTATAATGATAAGAAATGAATTTTTGAGTGAAAATTTTTTAGCTTTTTTGCTTTGAGCCATGCTTGAATCAGATCCTGATAAATCGCTATAGTAACACTCATCAGAAAAAAATCAGAAAGCGGATTGAGCCGCGGAATTGGGATGAGAAAATTTGTGCCTATTCCTTGGGCTCGTGCCATAACTTTTATTAGCGGATCGGCAAGTGATTGTTTGCATCGTAAAACAGCACTCAACAATGAAAATAGATTAAATATTAAAACTAAAATAACATCGTATAATGTCATTAGAAAACAATTTGTAATTAATCATTTTAGAAAAATGAGAACATGCATAAACATTGAACAGTATATTATATTGTTTACGCACCCTTCCTCTTGTAAATTGGCTGTTTTAAATCAAAATTTAAGAAAACTGTCAGCCTTATCGAAGGTACTAACGCAGAACTATTCGCTCTCAACTTCTTCAATACGCGAGGTAAGTTTTTGAACAAATTGTGACGCCAGGAGAACATCGTTTGGGAAATATGATCGTTGGCGGCGATCCATCGTGGCCTGGGACTGCTAGGTCTCAAACAAATACTAAGGATACTAAGGATACTCGTGGCCTGGGACTGCTACGTCCCAAAGAAATACTAAGGATACTCGTGGCTTGGGACTGCTACGTCCCAAACAAATACTAAGGATACTCGATCGTGGCTTGGGACTGCTACGTCCCAAACAAATACTAAAGTTAAGGTTGGAAGGCATATGAGAGGATCGCTGTGAAATACAAACGAGAATTTGGTTTCAGGTCCAAGAAGACAGCGAGCGTCTCGAGTACCTGCAACTGACGAGGGAGGCTGAAGCTCGTAAACTGGAGGAGCAGATGGCGGGAGACCAGGAGTTGCTGGAAGGACTTCTGCAGCAGGCTGCAGAGTTGGAAAATAACAACCAACTCCTCCTGCAATTCTCTGCTGCTGACGATAGCACTCTCAAGGTAATACGTCATGGAAGTTCATTAAATTAAATTCATTTCATAGGAATAGCTTTTCAGGCCAAGATGGAAAAACGAACGGTGATGACCGAACTAACCAAGATGGCCGATCGGTTTTGGAACAGTAACGGTCACCACAGTCATATTTAAATGCACAGCATTCGACGTTGGAAGATTCTCAAAGCGTGATCATCTTAGTCAAAAAAAACTTGCTTACAAAATTTGTCACGTAGTTTTCAAGTCGATGGTATCGATATTTCCACTGTCGTAAATTGTAAATGGAGCACAGCTACACACGTCCGCCTGCAGCCACAACCAGCGCATGATTCCAAAATCCGTCTTATTTTGATTATGCCTTTGTTAAGTTTTCTTTAGTGACCTACTGTCATAATTTTTTTTGGTAGCTAGTACGTACTCGTATGTACTTATTATTATGCTTTCTAATCATTATCCTATTATTATTGAACAAAGTCATGTACAGCCTTTCTCGCTTGTCCAACTATCGCCCGCGAAGCTGTTATCTTGTATGGGCATTCACTAGAATTTTTTTATCTCGTTGTTCATTTGCTACGTGTTGTGTACTCTTATCTGATAGACTAAAGAAATAAAGAATAAAGAAATATATCAAAATGTAAAAAATTCGCAGATATTTTTCAATAATTTTAACTCCACCTTTTTTCTTGAATTCTCCGATATTCATCTTTATGATTATCATATGGCTATGCTGGGTTAAATTTATTGATTTATTGAAATATTCATACCCATTTTTCTGTTTCTCTAAATTTTCCCTACTTATTCTAACACTTCCCATTGCAATGAATGCATTAACATTGTTTTAATCGACTGTTAGTTTATAGAATAGAATAGAAGTGTCGGCACTGATGAAATAGGCCCAGTTACATTTTATTTATTTATTCTAACACTTCCCAATGAATGCATTAACATCGTTATAATCGACAGTTTATCATTTATCAGTTTATCATNGCAGGCTGACATGCACGTGAGTGAACCCGCTGCTCGGTGAGTCATGCCAGGGACGCCGTGGCCATCCTGCTCCGACGCACACGCCAGCAGGCTGACATGCACGTGAGTAAACCCGCTGCTCGGTGAGTCATGCCAGGGACGCCGTGGCCATCCTGCTCCGACGCACCCGCCTGCAGGCTGACATGCACGTGAGTGAACCCGCTGCTCGGTGAGTCATGCCAGGGACGCCGTGGCCATCCTGCTCCGACGCACACGCCAGCAGGCTGACATGCACGTGAGTAAACCCGCTGCTCGGTGAGTCATGCCAGGGACGCCGTGGCCATCCTACTCCGACGCACCCGCCTGCAGGCTGACATGCACGTGAGTGAACCCGCTGCTCGGTGAGTCATGCCAGGGACGCCGTGGCCAGCCTGCTCCGACGCACACGCCGACATGCACGTGAGTGAATCTACTGCTATAGTCAATTACACCGAGTATTTTACTTTGAAAAAATAACTCTCACTTAAATTAACACGCATCGGTGAAGCGAAGGCAAGGAAGGTACGTATTTTGAGAACGTAAAGATTGATTCTTATCGATATATTTTATTTTTCAGGAATCATACAAGTAATTCGGATGACATAAAATGCCTGTTTGTTAGAAGTATAATAGGTACCGATGTGAGGAATAAATATAGGACGAATTAACAGTGAAAAATTATGTTGAATTGTCCAACTATAAAGTCATCACCGTTCCCCAAAAAATTCACTATACATAGAATTGGATTTGTTAATATTACTTATATCCAAATTGCTTCTACTACATGAGCTAAAAAATTACCGACGCAGTTAGACACCGATTCATAATTTGAGGAAAATATGCAAACCAGGATTAACAAAACAAAAATTATGTTGTGTTGTCGCAGTATGAAGTCGTCACCTTCTCTCCAACATCTACTATAAGTTTAGTTGCATATGTTTATATTATTTATGGCCAAAGTTTTCCACTATGAAAGATAAAAATTACCAAAGCAACGGAAAGCGAAATGAAGAACAATTATGAAAATACTTTTCTAAATTGGAGGAAAAATCAGGAGTATGCGCCAGTTATTGTCAGAATTATAATTGCGAGAAATGTTGAAAAAATACGCTAAAGGTTGATAAAATTATCTCCAGGCGAATGACGTTGATACATCGTTGATCATGACTGAGACCTTGAAATGCCTAGCAAATTACGGACCAGGCAATAAGTCCAGCAGCTATCTCAATCAATCGTCAGCTATGGAAAGATCGGGTTCCAAAGGCCGGATCCCTTGTGAATCAAGTCACGAAAAGTACGAGAATCGGCAACAGGCCATGGGCCTATTTCATCAGGGCCGACACTTCTATTCTATGACTTGAATTCGTTGGCACGACTTTTAATATGCGCTATTTCGGCCTCAGATTTCTTTCAGGAATAATACAATTAAAGTACAAGATGTCTCAATAACAGTCAATTTTCGCCATGTAGCCGGACGTAGAACTACGCGTGACGCAGGACAGCCTACGTCTGGTGCACCAACACCTGGGGCGGCTGACGTCTGATAACCTGGACATCGCGGACGCAATCTTTCTTTACTGTCAGCAAGCAAGCATCCCCCCGCCCAGAGTGTCCTGCCTAGCGAGGGACAAAGCTTTTGCTGCCAGGTAGTGGGTTGGAATTTTTTAATAAAATATCATGGAAAATGTTGATAATGATAGTTAATGTAAGAATATCCTGCCGAGTTATCAACACAGTAAATAAGGAGCTTTCGGCTCCAAGAAGATAAACTATTATTCGAATATCGTTGAGTTGTAATGATTGAATTTTGTCTGCGTTCAAATGATCACTATTAAAAATTCAATGCTCGATATGTAACTCCCTCACGGCGAGAAATTTCGGCGATCAAGCAGAGCTGCGTTCAAACGGAGAAGCAACTCCAGAAGGTGCAGTAATATTATTGTATTGATCTCATAGCATTCCTCATGTTTCATTAGTGCATACAAACTTACCCTGAACGACGTCTGTTGTCGCACAAAGGATTGTTCAGGATTGTCTGTGTACACAATGTTGGACATTTCTTGGTGATGTGTACTTTTGATCGCCAAATTTAGCAATTAATTAATTTTCAATATCTTCAAGTTAGTCACCACATTTATAATGATAAGAAATGAATTTTTGGGTGAAAATTGTTTAGCTTTTTTGCTTTGAGCCATGCTTGAATCAGATCCTGATAAATCGCTATAGTAACACTCATCAGAAAAAAATCAGAAAGCGGATTGAGCCGCGGAATTGGGATGAGAAAATTTGTGCCTATTCCTTGGGCTCGTGCCATAACTTTTATTAGCGGATCGGCAAGTGATTGTTTGCATCGTAAAACAGCACTCAACAATGAAAATAGATTAAATATTAAAACTAAAATAACATCGTATAATGTCATTAGAAAACAATTTGTAATTAATCATTTTAGAAAAATGAGAACATGCATAAACATTGAACAGTATATTATATTGTTTACGCACCCTTCCTCTTGTAAATTGGCTGTTTTAAATCAAAATTTAAGAAAACTGTCAGCCTTATCGAAGGTACTAACGCAGAACTATTCGCTCTCAACTTCTTCAATACGCGAGGTAAGTTTTTGAACAAATTGTGACGCCAGGAGAACATCGTTTGGGAAATATGATCGTTGGCGGCGACCCATCGTGGCTTGGGACTGCTACGTCCCAAACAAATACTAAGGATACTCGATCGTGGCTTGGGACTGCTACGTCCCAAACAAATACTAAAGTTAAGGTTGGAAGGCATATGAGAGGATCGCTGTGAAATACAAACGAGAATTTGGTTTCAGGTCCAAGAAGACAGCGAGCGTCTCGAGTACCTGCAACTGACGAGGGAGGCTGAAGCTCGTAAACTGGAGGAGCAGATGGCGGGAGACCAGGAGTTGCTGGAAGGACTTCTGCAGCAGGCTGCAGAGTTGGAAAATAACAACCAACTCCTCCTGCAATTCTCTGCTGCTGACGATAGCGCTCTCAAGGTAATACGTCATGGAAGTTCATTAAATTAAATTCATTTCATAGGAATAGCTTTTCAGGCCAAGATGGAAAAACGAACGGTGATGACCGAACTAACCAAGATGGCCGATCGGTTTTGGAATAGTAGCGGTCACCACAGTCAGATTTAAAGGCACAGCATTCAAAGTTGGAAGATTCTCAAAGCGTAATCATCTTAGTCGAAAAAACTTGCTTATAAAAATCTGTCACGTATTTTTCAACACGATGGAATCAATTTTTACACCGTCTTAAGTTGTACACGGAGCACAGCTACACACGTCCGCCTTCAGCCACAACCGGCGCATGATTCCAAAATCCGTCCTATATTGATTATGCCTTCGTTAAGTTTTTTTTAGTGACCTACTGTCATAATTTTTTTTTTGGTAGCTAGTATAATAGTATGTACTCGTATGTACTTATTATCATTATGTTTTCTTGTCATTATCCTATTATTATTTAACAAAAAATTTAAAAGCAAAGAATACAGTCCACAAAAAGTCATATCTTTATAGAAACGTTTCGGAGTCCAGCTCCATCGTCAGTTCGTAGAATCTAGAATTTACATAGAAAGTCACAAGTTAATACAATTGAAAGCACAGAACACAATTAAAACCTAAATTTACAAGTAATAGGGCATTCAACACGTATCTATTCACAATTTCAAGGGGATAGGAGCTAACATCTGAATTTAAACTGGGCCTAAGTTTAAAAATGTACAATGATTCTAAAATACGCAAATCATTAAGATTAGCGTATTTTAGAATCATTGTATATTTTTAAACTTAGGCCCAGTTTAAATTCAGCTGTTAGCTCCTATCCCCGTGAAATTGTGAACAGATTGTTTTTTATGCCCTATTACTTGCAAATTTAGGTTTTAATTGTGTTCTGTGCTTTCAATTGTATTAACTTGTGACTTTCTATGTAAATTCTAGATTCTACGAACTGACGATGGAGCTGGACTCCGAAACTTTTCTATAAAGATATGAATTTTTGTGGACTATTATTTGCTTTTAAATTTTTAGTTAACTTGTGATTTAAGCAAATAAGTGACATCAATTATTTAACGAAGTCATGTACAGCCTTTCTCGCTTGTCCAATTATCGCCCGCGAAGCTGTTTAGCTTGTATGGGCATTCACTAGAATTTTTTTATCTTGTTGTTCATTTGCTACGTGTTGTGTACTTTATGTGATATATTAAATAAATAAAGAATAAAGAAATATATCAAAATGTAAAAAATTCGCAGATATTTTTCAATAATTTTAACTCCACCTTTTTTCTTGAATTCTCCGATATTCATCTTTATGATTATCATATGGCTATGCTGGGTTAAATTTATTGATTTATTGAAATATTCATACCCATTTTTCTGTTTCTCTAAATTTTCCCTACTTATTCTAACACTTCCCATTGCAATGAATGCATTAACATTGTTTTAATCGACTGTTAGTTTATAGAATAGAATAGAAGTGTCGGCACTGATGAAATAGGCCCAGTTACATTTTATTTATTTATTCTAACACTTCCCAATGAATGCATTAACATCGTTATAATCGGCAGTTTATCATTTATTAGCTTATCATTTACATTTTATTTATTCACATTTTATTTTAGGAAGTATTTTTGGCGCTGGAGAAGAGCGGTCTCGAGGTGGCGCGAGCAGAGACATCGCTCGAGGAAGCACGTCACGACGAAGCCGCTGAGCAGAGCGCGCAGCAAGCCCTGGCTGCTGCCTTCGTCGAGACGGCGCGACGCAGAGACGAGCTGCTCGTCCAGTGGGAGCTTTGCCTCGTCACGCTCACACAGAAAGGCGACGAGCATAAGTGTATTGTTCAGGTAATGCATGACTCTAGAAGATATAAATGGATAAAATATAAATGTATCGATGCATTAAAGTAGACTTTTATTATTAAATCGTGATTCAATGTCTGCTATGAAGATTTCAGTCATTTTAAAAATATTTTTTAAAATTATTTTTGAGTAAAATAATTTTATTTACACCAAAATTAACAGAATTCATCATTTCCGCATCAATGCATATATTTACAATAACATAAAACGATTTTTTTTTCTTTTTAAAAACAACTTTGCATATCAGAGATTCCTGGAACTGCGCGACAAAATTAAAGAAGCTGAAAAAGGTGAGCGCGAAGAGGCTGCTTTCCTGTCCCGTCTGCGCAGTTCGTGCAAACGCATTGAGCGAAAACTCGCTAAGAAACTGAAAATGTCCTCGGATCTCTACCATCAAATACATGAGGCTGAAGCCACCAAGCTCGAACTGTCGGCACAAGTGAGTTGTATTCATGGACGGCATTTTGTATTCATGGATGCAGTAGAAACAATATTCTTTGTACCGCAATGCCGTGGTCAATGCCATAAAATTATCTGCATTCTTTTTTACAGTGTTCGACTTAATTTTAACTTATTATTTTCAGTGTGGAAGTTGGGCTTGCTTATTTTCTTCAATAGGAACTTGAAGTAAATCAGGAACAAGTCTTTCAATATCGGATTAATGTTTCTTTCCCCATTCAATTTTACACCAGAAATATTCCACTTGATTCCTCTTTCTTGCCAACCCAGCTTATACCACGGCGTTTGAACTCGTAACTACACATAAAAATCAATTTGACTACGTATCCATAATTCCATATTTACTATAACATGATAGTGCAATACATTTATACATTTTTTGCTATCAAATAACCCATAAACAGGAAGCAGGTTTACGAAACGCTCTCAAGAGAATCGAAGAAGAAATACTCAGAGTGAAGAAAGACATCAACCAAGAGAAGGAGGCTCTGGAAGAGAAGGAAACCAGGGTGAAAAAACTAGAGTCGAGGATCGAGAAGACGCAACAAAGGCTCGCGCTCAACACTGAACTTCTGGTGAACACAACTGCTGAAGCCAGGCTGTTAGACGCCAGTGTTGAGGTTAGAAATTCATGATTTATAAATCATAAATTATTGATTCATTATAAATTTTATACATAATTTTATAATCATTGAAATTAACATTTAATTAACATTAACAACCATTAATTTTATACATAAGATTAACAATAACTAATTTTATACATAAAATTAATGGGTGAATTTTGCTAGAAAATAATTTCAAAATTTGAAACTCCAAAGATCAACAATTATCTGTACAGATACGATTGAAATGTGTCATCTCTATTTTCAAAACATCAGGCACACGGGTACACAATTCAAGCTTTTCATCATTAATTTCAGGAGAGAGAAAGAGAACTTCAAGAAGTAATGCGCAAGAAGGACCAAGCGGGGACAATTCTACAGCAGCATCAGGTACGACAAGACCTTCACAAATTTTAACGAGTTCAAGAAGACTTAGAATGCATTTAATATTTAGAACTTAAGATTTACTTTAAACGAATTTTGACAAATCTCCTCCGGTAAATGAAAATGCTGAATTAAATTTTGCGATACAAAATGTATGCAAGGACTGTTAATCAGAAAATAACAAAGTTTAACCCGTCTTTGAAAATATAATTATTTTCTTAAAGAATGATCATGACTGTAAACGGATTGAACCAGCATTTTATGCATATTTCAGCAAACCATAATAGAGGAGAGCAATCAATTAAACCTTAACTGAGCAACCAAGCTAATCAATAGTTTATTATTCCATTTTTCATTTATGTTTACAGTATATAGGAGTATACAGAAACAATGGCATATCATTAGATTATTAGCCCTAGCTGAGATACTGTTTCATTCGAGGCTCACTTAGCCTATCGTTAAAATCTTACACTATGGAGCCACTCATGCGTATTTCAATGTTCAGCGTTTTAGTTTTGGTCAATATTCCTCAACAGACAGAACTACAGGCAACTATACAGGCAGAGAAAGCGCAGCTGGGAGAAATAGAGGCGTTAAAATGCCACATCAAACGCACGGCGATTGAAACCAAGAAAGCCTCAGCCAGCATTGAAAAACTCAGAGAGCTTTGCTATCACCAGGTTGGCTTATCTATTTGCATGCATTTTATTTCGGTTTCCTTTTCTGTAAACGACTTAAGCTCCACACTTTCTACCGAATTTAGGAAGACTCTAATTTTGTGAGTGTAAAAATTGAATAGCAATATTTTATTTTCGTCGGTGAAATTTAATTTTCCTGGCTGTTATTCAAAATCAGAACCATAGACATTAAACTTTAATGTTTTGCCTCTTAATGTGCCAAACTGATTACCATATTGATGCTCTAATGCAATCAGATCTTCAAGCTCAAACTTATGACTTGAACCATTTTGGTAGCAAATAGAGGGCAATGGTCTGAGGGCTATATATGATATGACATAATTCTGTCGTATCTTAAATTTTCAGCTGTTTTTGTTTTACATTGAATAGGGAAAAAACTTATAACATTTTATCTTCATCCAATTTTGTTTCCTTTAATTAATATTTATCATTCCAATTTTGTTTCGCAACTTTATTAAAGGATAAGAAAAGGTTATATAATTTTATTCGATTAGATATTCTATTTTCTTCTATTTTATTTTGATAAATGTTCCATACAAATATTTTTTACAAATGATTAATCTTAGGAAGCTTCATTTCCATCCATTTAAATTCAGCTAAACTTCATATATTTAATTTTTTATTTTCATATCAGAGGTCTGAGCTGCAAACACTGAAACAGAAAATTTACGACTTGACTCACGACGCCAACAACAACGAAGAAGTGATCAGCAAGCAGCAGCAGATCAAAATTATGGAAACAGACCTGAAAAATTTACTCGATACCGTCAACGACTTGAAGAGGCAAACTTCTGCTCTCATGGTGAGTTTCGTCACACGTATATTCTATACTTTTTTGTGAATAAATATTTTTCGACTGCATTGATCATCCGGTTATAGTTTGATTTTTCATTTATTTCGTTCTAAAACACTATTTTTAATCATTTCACATGTAACTTTAGAAGACTCCCATCTAGTTACGCGTCATATTAGATTATTTGGTATTTAAACAATATTCGTTATATCCAGTGTCAGCTCAGCAGTAGCTGCAACGACCTATCGAAGAAACAGAAGAACTTCGACAACGTAAAAGAAGAACTGCAGTCCGTCCAGATGGCCTGCGAGAATTGTGAGAGGTGGGCATATCTTTTAAATTATTTAAAAGAGCCTCCCCTACCACAGAAGGCGGATAATCAAAAATAGATAACTCGATCGACTTAATTTATATTATTTATATTAAGATTCAATAAATTTTCATATTTAAAACTAATCTTAAAGCTTAACCCTCGGAAATAACCGGCCACGCAATGGCATAAAAAGGATATATTCGGTGAGTTGAAAATTTACTGTATTTTATATTTCATATTTTTAAAACTGACAGAGAAAAACGACGTCTGATCAACGAATGCGAGGCGACAGACGTACAACGCGCGCTGCAGCAGCTGCAGCTGCGCCAGCGCCGTGCAGAGCTGCAACGTGTCCGTGCAGCGGCTGAAGACCTCAACAAATCCCGGAGTCAAATGTCCAAGGTTTTTATAAAGCTTTGAACTTTGGCAATGATTGAATTGAAACTTAACTCGTGAAAAAAGAACACCTGAATTTCCCTACAAGTGAAATTTGTTTTCATTTGAAGAGTTAACATTGATAATTAATACAGTGGTTTATTTATACTTATTTTTATAAAAAACTGTCTCTCTCGGTCATTCCTGCAGCTCATCGATGAGCAGTGCGACGAAGTGAAGAACAAAATCAAAGAGCGGGAGAAGGAGATACGGGCATCGGAACAAACTCTACACTACGAGACACTGAGTCTGCACCAGAGCTCCACTAAACTTAGCCAGATCCAAAAACGGTAGATGATCTTTTAAAAATTTAGGATCCATGAGAAACTTTGTAACGATGACGTGATTTGATCAGGTTTCTTTCCTACCTCGTATTCGAGTTTACGTTATTGTCAAAGCTATCAGTTCTACTGACGGTCCATGCAACTCAGTTTATACGTTTTCTCTCAATTGTACTCAGACAATGTATTCTGTATAAAATATAATTATTTCCCTTTGATAATGCTTTCGAATTCACTCTATGGTTTCCATCTTTTATCTCACTAAATTAACTGATCTCTCTCACTTGGCGCTTATGTTGTATTTAGTTTTATTGCCATATTGCATTTAGTTTGAGAAGCGAACTTCCTTTTCTTGCAGGTACACTGAGATTCGTGTCAGTTTGGGAGCCGAGAAGGAAGAAGAGACTGAGATAACGGCAGCTAGGGCCTTAATGAAGGTAAGTTTTAATAAGAGAACGTAAGCAATTTTAAAGTTTTTTAATAATTAATATACTTAGAATTCTAAGGAACGTTTTTGGCTTGAACCGTTCGAGAAAAAGTGTTGATTCAGATTATTGTAATCTCTCATTTTGCTACGTACAGGTAGAGCAAGACATATCGGGCCTGCAAGAGGCCGAGGACCTGGTGGAGGAGGCGGTGCTGGAGGCACAAGAGGACCTTGAGGCCCTCAACATCCTCCTGCAAGAGGCTCGCAACGAAGGCCAGCAGCTGCGTCGTGAGCTGCATTCCGTCATCACCGAGAGTAAGTCATGTGGTTGGAGGACGAAACCATTATTTATATTCTCCTGGCCAAATTGGGATGTTTTCTTGAAAATCGTGATCGTAATCTCGTCTATCACTGGGTAATGTCATTCATTCTCTTCAAATTGGTGCATCATCGATGATTGAGCATTGGTAATTCGGTGCACATTCAAAAATATTAGATATATATTTAGAGTTTTATTCATTGATAAGCTATGATGCACATTTAAATTTCTGCTATTTGGTGCATTGATATTAAACGAAAAATTCTCATCTTTATATTCAAATTTTTGACATCCTCATTTTAGATCGTTGTATGAGAATTTTTTTACCAGGTGTGGAAGACAAGCCGCGTCTGGAACTGGAAGCAGAAGTCCAACAAATTAAGAAACGTATTCTCCAGGGTCAGGAAAATTTAAAAAGCTTTCAAAGAGAACTGGAGGTAACGTTTATGGGAGTTATCTTTATAGTAAATTTTATATCATTGAGTTTATACATATTTTCTTAAATGACTCATACATTTCATCTATAGTTATTTGAGTTCTTAGTTAAGAATTTTTTAAGTTCGAAGTGCAGGTGCAATTTTATCTATCTATGAAATTATTTATAGAGAACTTCTAATCGATTTCCTAGATCGAAAAAAACTCTAACAAACTACAATGCCGGAAATGGCTATACGACCACCCAGTTTTCTCCAATTATTTTTTCTTGCACAAAAAATTAAGGGATTCTAATTATACGAGGTTAAACTACGTTTTAAAACGGTTCCAACGCTGTCCAAAAAAAAAATTTTTCTCAAATTATATGAGAAGAAATTATGAAAATTAGAAAAACCTAGGTGGAAATGGTTGTAAGACAAGGATAGGTTTTTCTCCATTTTGGTATCTTTCTGTAACATTTTCTCTTTAAAAAGTACAGAAATATAAAGAATATATTGATTTTCGTCATTTAGGGCCTTTCTGGTGTACTTCTGGTGTAGTTCAGTGTCCTCACTTTTATTTTTTCGAAGTAAAAAATATGCCAAATGGGACAAGACTCACTGAAGCCGAGAAGACGCAGTTTTCGGCTTTGTGAAATGCAGTAGAAGCCAACGTGACATCAAAATGGGAATAAAATGCTCAAAACCCATTGCACAATAATTTTTTTGCTAATCCGGGCGGCTACGGGTGAAAAAAGCACACTGGACCAACCCCAAAATTAACCGACAGGGATTCGCCGTGGCCAGCCTGCTCCGACGCACCCGCCGACATGCACGGAGTAAATCTTCTGCTATAGTCAATTACACCGAGTATTTTACTTTGAAAAAAGAACTCTCAGTTAAATTAATACGCATCGGTGAAGCGAAGGCAAGGAAGGTACGTATTTTGAAAACGTAAAGATTAGTTCTCATAGATATATTTCATTTTTCAGGAATCATATAAGTAATTCGGATGACATAAAATGCCTGTTTGTTAGAAGTCTATTAGATGCCGATGTGAGGAATAAATATAAAACGAATTAACAGTGAAAAATTATGTTGAATTGTCCAACTATAAAGTCATCACCGTTCCCCAAAAAATTCACTATACATAGAATTGAATTTGTTAATATTATTTACATCCAAATGGCTTCTATTATTATATAACAGCTAAGAAATTACCGACGCAGCTAGACACCGATTCATAATTTGAGGAAAAAATGTTAACCAAGATTAACAAAACAAAAATTATGTTGTGTTGTCGCAGTATGATGTCGTCACCTTCTCTCCAACAACTACTATAAGTTTAGTTGCCTATGTTTATATTATCTATGTCTAAAATTTTCCACTACGAAAGATAAAAATTACCAACGCAACGGAAGGCAAAACTGGAGGAAAAATCTAGAGTATGTGCCAGGTATTGTCAGATTGATAATTACGAGAAATGTTGAAAAAATACGCGAATGGTTGATACAATTAACTCCAGGCAAATGACGTTGATACATCGTTGATTATGACTGAATCTTGAAATGCATATGCACCTTATAAGGACCTGGCAATAAGTCCAGCAGCTATCTCAATCAATCGTCACTTATGGAAAGATCGGGTGCCAAAGGCCGGATTCCCTGTGAATCAAGTCACGAAAAGTACAAGAATCGGCACCAGGCCATGGGCCTATTTCTTCAGTGCCATCACTTCTATACTATGACTTGAATTTGTTGGCATGACGTTTAATATGCGCTTTTTCAGCCTCAGATTCCTTTCAGGAATAATATAATTAAAGTACAAGATGTCGCAATAACAGTCATTTTTCGTCATGTAGCCGGACGTAGAACTACGCGTGACGCAGGACAGCCTACGTCTGGTGCACCAGCACCTGGGGCGGCTGACGTCTGATAACCTGGACATCGCTGACGCAATCTTCCTTTACTGTCAGCAAGCCAGCATCCCCCCGCCCAGAGTGTCCAGCCTAGCGAGGGACAAAGCCTTCGCTGCAAGGTAAGTGGGTTGCAATTTTTTAATCAAATATCATGAAAAAATGTTGATAATGATAGTTAAAGTACGAATATTCTGCCAAGTTGTCAACACAGCAAATAAAGGAGCTTTCAGCTCCAAGAAGAGAAATGATAATTCAAATATCATTGCGTTGAAATTATTACATTTGTCTGCGTTCAAATGATCACTATTAAAAATTCAATGCTCGATATACAATATAACTCCCAACAACTAATGCTTTCATTTCTTTAACTATGCCTCAGAAGCCAAATTTAAACTCATATACACTCGCGTATAAAATCTTTAATAGATCCTGTTTATTTATAAGAGAAAATTCTGCATTTACAATTATTTGGAAGTGACCTCATTCTTCGATGAATTTGAGAAAAATTAATATTACCGAGGCTGATTGCGCAAAAACAATATCACGAATTTAGTTCCTTATCATTCAATTTATCGGTTTCATAACATTAACTAATCGACCTAACATTAAACGGCTACAATCCTACTTCTCTTCTGATGAGGTCACTAGCAGGAATTTACCTAATTTCAATCACAATTCTTGACTTCTGATGGCGACGAACCTAAGCGATTTAAAGTTCATAAACTCATTTTTGCCGTTTTACTTAGAATATCATAGACCAATGAGTAATTCTAATTAACAATTTTCTTTTTGTTTTCTTGAATTTGGCAAACTATATCGCAAAACTGTAGAAATTTTTTGATAAAAAGACAAAACCAGCAATAAAAGACACCTACTGCGCAGTTATACCAATATATGCATTTGCACCTGCGACGTCACTTTGCCTATTTTAGAGGGGCTTCAGTCTCCTAAAATACTTCAAAGCCCCCCTGAATAATTTTAAATACGATCATAAAGAAATACATGTCTTAAGCCTAAAAAAATACATAAGCCATGAGCCTTAAAGAAGTACACAAGCCATAAGTCTAAAAGAAGTGCATAAGCCATAAGTCTTAAAGAAGCACATAAGCCATAAGTCTTATAGAATCACATAACCCATAAGTATTAAAGAAGTACATAAGCCATAAGTATTAAAGAAGTACATAAGCCGTAAGTATTAAAGAATTACATAATCCATAAGTCTAGAAGAAGTACACAAGCCAAAAGTCTTAAAGAAGTACATAAACCATAAGTCTTAAAGAATTACATAAGCGATAAATCTTGAAAAAGTACATAAGCCATAAGTTTTAAAGAATTACATTATCCATAAGTCTTAAAGAAGTACACAAGCCATAAGTCTTAATGAATTAAATAAGCTATAAATCTTAAAAAAATACATAAGCCATAAGTTGTAAAGAATTACATAATCCATAAGTCTTAAAGAAGTACATAAGCCAAAAGCCTTAAAGTAGTACATACGCCATAAGCCTTATAGAAGTACATAAGCCATACGTCTTAAAGAAGTAAATAAGCCATAAGCCTTAAATCTATGTTCATAAGCCGTAAGCTTTAAGTAAGTACATAAGCCATGCGTCTTAAAGAAGTACATAAGCCACGAGCCTTAAAGAAGTACATACGCCATACGTCTTAAAGAAGTAAATAAGCCATAAGCCTTAAATAAGTACATAAGCCATAAGCCTTAAAACCTAGTGCCGCCCCTGATGTGCCTTCTTTATGCCACTCCTCAGCGGCAGTTTGAGCTCAGNTAGAGGATAAGAGTTCAATTTGTATTAATTGATGGAATGCATTGGATTTTTAACTGTTTGTGATCATCTTCATAATGTATCCATAACAGTAAAACTTCGTTTAGGCAAAGCCGATATTTTCATGTCGCTATTGGTGCTGTAGATTAATTACTCTTATTTTCGGAATACGGGATTACGAGGCTATAATCATAATAGTTAGCAATTAAAATGTATAAAAAACTTGTATGATCTTCCGTAACGTTATTTTGCCCATGTTTCGGCTCGTGATCATGAACAAAAATATTCGCTTGCCAGCAGAAGTTAAACTATTATAATATTTTATCAATTTCTATTTTCAGTAATTATTAAATTGAATATTATAGATGATGTGTAGAACGACCCGATATGTAAAGTCACTGGAACCATGAAATGTGTTATTGCAAAATCAGATAATAGTTGGTTATTCTTTCCATCATTCCGATCAATGGCCCATAAAACACGGGCATTTGAGACGGTGTATCACAAAGTCGTTTAGACCAAAGAACCAACGTCAAAAAATCATCAAGCGATGGATTCATTGCTTTATCTCAGTTGGTATATTTTGCTGCTATGAATAAATCTTGTTATGTTAGTCATAATCTGTCTCTTATACACATCTGAACGGAGTCCAGAGCTGGCAGCAGTATTCAAGGATAGGTATTACAAGGGTTCTGAAGAGTGTGATCATCGGTTCCGCTTCTCTCGTTCTGAACGTCCGCCAGAACACTCCAATGACATCTCAGACGCGAAACGAAACCTCGCAACACCAAGACGTTGTATCATAATTTAATAACAATGATTATTTTTTATTTATTCCTACACTGCATTCTTGCTGGTGCACGGCATACCCATCGAGGGAATGCCTCAAATGTCGATGCGGTGCCCTCGATGGGTCAGGGCAACGCATATATGCGGTGCCCATCGAGGGCCTATATATGAGGGCCCATCGAGGCCCTCATTATCAAGAGCGAGTCTCCAGCATCAACCTCCAAACTACAGGATTCGTCCGGACGCTGAAATTATTTTCAGAGTAATTTTAAGCTAATATTTTAAATTTTATCTACTATATCATTGATATGTACTACTGTCATATCCAAAATTCTATTTCAAGTGTTGTAAAACCACCAGCTTGATTATAAAAATTGTATTTTCGAAACGTCGCAATCCATTAAAATATCATTCGGAAACCTGCTTTTTGATCTCCCGGCGCCAGCAAAAAATTTTGTTCGACTCATTGAAAAATCGAATATGAAGATTATTAATAAAAAGCATGCACTGGTTTCCAATCAAACTCAATCATAATCGTACATGTCCCTTCAGTTCATTATCGTGATCGTGGCCTCAAATTATTAAACAAATATGCCCCTTTATTTTATGCCGTCATCGTGGCCTCCACGATAATCGAGTATGGCCCCGTAAATTCAATGCTGTCACGATAATCGTGTATGGCCCCGTAAATTCAATGCCCTCATGATAATCGTGTATGTTCCTTAATACATTTGAACATTGCCTCCATGATAATCGCACATTCCCCTTTAGTTCTATGTCGTGGTAATGGTAGCGACCTTCCTGATAATCTTTTATTAGCCTATACTTCTGTTTCGTGACCGTGACCTCAACCATAATCGTGTATGCCCCTTTAGTACTGTATCGTGAAATTGCTTTCATGAAAATCGCATATTTTATGAATTTTTAAATTAGGTTCACTCGTGTAGTTACCATACACAATTCCCGGTGAGGATATAACAATAGAGTCTAGAGATTTTTTGCAACGCAAGAGGCACATGAGCAATGACATCTCAGACGCGAAACGAAACCTCGCAACACCAAGACGTTATATCCTAATTTAATAACAATGATTATTTTTTCTTTATTCCTACACTATTAGTTCCCCAAGAATCTGTGAGGCATGCCCATCGAGGCATGCCCATTTGAGGCATGCCCATCGAGGCATGCCCATTTGAGGCATGTCCATCGAGTCATGCCCATTTGAGGCATGCCCATCGAGTCATGCCCATTTGAGGCATGCCCATTTGAGGCATGCCCATCGAGGCATGCACATCGAGGCATGCCCATTTGAGGCATGCCCATCAAGGCATGCCCATTTGAGGCATGCTCATCGAGTCATGCCTCAAATGTCGATGCGGTGCCCCGACCCATCGAGACTGGTGATAGCTGAGGCCCTCATTATCAAGAGTGAGTTTGCAGCCATCAACCTCCAAACTACAGGATTCGTCCGCATACGCTGAAATTATTTTCAGAGTAATTTTAAGCTAATATATTGAATTTTATCTACTATATCATTGATATGTACTACTGTCATATCCTAAATTCAATTTCAAGTGTTGTATAACCACCAGCTTGATAATGAAAATTGTATAAGGGCTAACAATGAATGCTAATGACGCTTGTAAAATCAACTGCGTCGAGTAGGCTAATTCTATAGCTACAAATTTCAGAAAAAGGGAAAATGGCGGCTACAAAGATTATTAATAAAAAGCATGCACTGGTTTCCAATCAAACTCAATCATAATCGTGCATGTCCCTTCAGTTCAGTATCGTGGTCGTGGCCTCAAATTATTAAACAAATTTGCCCCTTTATTCTATGCCGTCATCGTGGCCTCCATGATAATCGTGTATGGCCCCGTAAATTCAATGCTGTCACGATAATCGAGTATGGCCCCGTAAATTCAATGCCCTCATGATAATCGTGTATGTTCCTTAATACATTCGAACATTGCCTCCATGATAATTGCACATGCCCCTTTAGTTCTATGTCGTGGTAATGGTAGCGTCCTTCATGATAATCTTGTATTAGCCTATACTCTTCGTGATCGTGACCTCAACCATAATCGCGAATGCCCCTTTAGCACTATATCGTGAATATTGCCTTTATGAAAATCGCATATTTTATTAATTTTTAAATTAGGTTCACTCGTGTACTTACGATACGCAGTTCCCGCTGAGGATATAACAATAGAGTTTTTTGCAACACAAGACGCACATGAACTATGACAACTCAGACGCGAAACGAAACCTCGCAACACCACGACGTTATATCCTAATTTAAGAACAATGATTTTTTTTTCTTTATTCCTACACTATTAGTTCCCCAAGAATCTGCCATATTACCTATTTTATTGGAAAAACATTATTGTTGTATGATGTGGCACTTTAATTTTGATTAGTTAACCATGGAACAAGTTGTTTTTTATGAGTATATCTTAGAAAACCACTTCTTTTATGTACCCCTTGGAAATTTCAATGCTTTAGTCTCTTACTCAGCAAATAAAAATACGTAAAAAACAATATAATAC